TAGTTTTATATTCTTGTTTTTATTTTTTTGTGAGAATTTATGTTTGAAGTCTTATAGTTTAAAGTCTGTTTTCTGTGTCTTCCTTGTCTATTTCCCCAGTCATGTCTGTTTATTCTCACTTTGTCAAGTCTGTATGTCTGAGTCTCACTGTTAGTTTCCAGTGTTTTACTTTGATAATGTCTTATCCTGCGTGTGTTATGTTGACTTTTGCTTCCTCTGTTGTTTTCTCCCCAACAAACACAACAATGTCGATGAAACGTTGCATTGGTTTCATTCTATAATACTGCACTTATTTACTGCACTCAAAGTTTGAACTTTGAGAGTGTTTAAACAAGAGGAAAAAGTGTGAAAACGTTCATGCCTGTCTGAGAAAAGTGTATAAAGTATGTAGTGAAGGGTTTTACAGCCTTAAAACATCTATAATAATTGTAAAAATTAAAGTTGGCTACTTCACGGATTTCACTTATCACTGGTTATTTTTAGAACATAACTCCAGCGATAAACGAGGGACCACTGTATTTAAATCCGTGGTTTCCCTCTGTTCATCATTATGTCGTTGTCGCATCCTTTTATGTTGTGTGCGTTGGGTCTGTCAGTCAGTGTTAGTTCTTCCAGTCAGTGTGCTCCTGTTAAGTCTGTCTTATGTTTCTGTTAAGCTTGCCGGTGCTGTCTAGTAAAGCTAGATAGCACCGTCTCTGAACTTAAGGAACTGAAGTCTCTGAACTTAAGGAACGGCTCTCAAATGTATGGGAATGGGAATCAGCACCTCCAAATCTGAGGCCATGGTCCTCAGCCGGAAAAGGTTCAGGGACAAGCTCCTGTCCCAAGTCGGAAAGTTTAAGTATTTCGAGGTCTTGTTCACAAGTGACGGGAGAAAGGAGTGGAAGATTAACAGACGGAGTGGTGCTGCGGCTGCAGTGATGCGGACACTGTACAGCTCTCTCTTCTCTGGTGAAGAGAGAGCTGTGTGTAAAAGCAAAGCTCTCAATTTGCTGGGTGATCTACCACTAGCTGTGGGTAGTGACTGAAAGAACGAGATCTCAAATACAAGCGGCAGAAATGAGATTCCTCTGAAGGATGGCCTCTCCCTTAGAGATAGGGTGAGAAGTTCAGCCATCTGGGAGGGTCTCAGAGTAGAACCGCTGTTCCTCCACATCGAAAGGAGCCAGTTGAGGTGGTTCAGGCATCTGACAAGGATGCCTCCTGGGTGAGGTACTCTGGGGATGTCCCACCGGGAGAAGGCCCAAGGGCAGACCTAGGACATGCTGGAGAGATTATATCTCTCAGCTGGCCAGGGAACACCTTGGTATTAATATTCATATTCTTCTATGACAAAAAAAATACAAGTGTTCATTTAAGTAAATAAACAGAGTAGTAAGTTGGGTTTTTTAAATTGTTTTCTTTATTTTGATTTGCCGCTAATGACATTTTTTTATTTGTAGTTTTTGTAGTGCTCTCTACTATGTGAACCCCTCACCTGAATTTTTTCATGTTTTTTTAGTTCATGCCAATTACATTCAATGCAAGGAAATTCTACACTATGAACCCCAACAATTAAATGATCCCCTATGAGAGCAAGCACTAAGCAACGGTGGAAAGGAAAAACGTCCTTTTAACAGGAAGAAACCTTTGACAGAACCAGATTCAAGGGCAGCCATCTGTCATGACTGGTTGGGGGGTGAGAGGCAAAAGAAAAGAAAAATGAGAGCACAATTTAGCTATATGTTGCTCACATTGCCTAAAATGAATAACATGTGGTTTTCTGGACTGTGAAAGAAATGCCTCAAGTTTTCTGTGACATGACTGAAGACTTTTGTTAAATGAACACCGTCGTTTATAAAAACTGAGTTGTTGAAAAACCTTGAGCACGGTTGCTCAATAATCCATGCTTGAGGATTGCTGGCATTCATAATCTTCCTGTCTGGGCTAACAAGTACTCATCGTAAAACATTTGAAAAATTCACCTTGAACCTCAAAGCTCTTGGCCTTTCAATGAAAATTTTGTTGTTGTTGTTGTTGTAGAAAAAAGAGTGGGATCCATTACTCTGTAACTCTTTACTTACAAACTGCTAATTGAAAGACTGTTTGCAGTATAATGTGTCACATATAACCCTCCTGAATGATATCAAGCAAGTTTGAAGTAGAAACAGTATTTCAGTCACAATTAATAAGCTAAAAAAATCAGTTTTACTATTCCTTTAAAACAATTTCAGTAATAATAAGGAACTTTTTGCAGTATAATGTGTCACATATATACAGTGGGATGCAAAAGTTTGGGCAACCTTGTTAATAGTTATTATTTTCCTGTACAAATCGTTGATTGTTACAATAAAAAATGTCAGTTAAATATATCATATAGGACAGCGGTCCCCAACCTTTTTTGCGCCACGGACCGGTTTATGGTGCCTTTAAGGTGTTGTGGAAAAATACAACAAAATAAAACTAGTACCTCTACTGAAAAATAGAAGAGTTATTCATAACACACGTGAAAAGACCCAGGAAAACCGAGTTAACGATAAAAACGATAACAAAATAACGCTGAAAACTGATAAAAACCCTAAAAAACCATACATTTCACACCTGAGCCTCAACTCTCGCGGCCCAGTACCAAACGACTCACGGACCGGTACCGGTCCGAGGCCTGGGGGTTGGGGACCGCTGATATAGGAGACACACACAGTGATATTTGAGAAGTGAAATTAAGTTTATTGAATTTACAGAAAGTGTGCAATAATTGTTTAAACAAAATCAGACAGGTGCATAAATTTGGGCACCACAAAAAAAGAAATGAAATCAATGTTTAGTAGATCCGCCTTTTGCAGAAATTACAGCCTCTAAACGCTTCCTGTAGGTTCCAATGAGAGTCTGGATTGTGGTTGAAGGTATTTTGGACCATTCCTCTTTACAAAATATGTTCATTCAGGTTTGATGGCTTCCGAGCTCTCTTTAACTCACACCACAGATTTTCAATAATATTCAGGTCTGGGGACTGAGAGGGCCACTCCAGAACGTTGTACTTGTTCTTCTGCATGAATGCCTTAGTGGATTTTGAGCAGTGTTTCGGGTCGTTGTATTGTTGAAAGATCCAGCCCCGGCACTGCTTCAGCTTTGTCACTGATTCCTGGACATTGGTCTCCAGAATCTGCTGATACTGAGTGGAATCCATGTGTCCCTCAACTTTGACAAGACTCACAGTCCCTGCACTGGCCACACAGCCCCACATCATGGTGGAACCACCACCATATTTCACTGTAGGTAGCAGGTGTTTTTCTTGTAATGCTGTGTTCTTTTTCCTCCATGCATAACACCCCTTGTTATGCCCAAATAAGACGATTTTAGTTTCATCAGTCCACAGCACCTTATTCCAGAATGAAGCTGGCTTGTCAAAATGTGCTTTAGCATACCTCAAGTGGCTCTGTTTGTGCTGTGGGCGGAGAAAAGGCTTCCTCTGCATCACTCTCGCATACAGCATCTCCTTGTGCGCCGAATGGTTGAATGAGGCACAGTGACTCCATCTGCTGCAAGATGATGTTGTAGGTCTTTGGTGCTGGTCTATGGGTTGACTCTGACTGTTCTCACCATTTGTCGCTTCTGTCTATCCGAGATTTTTCTTGGTCTGCCCTTTTGAGCCTTAACTTAAACTGTGCCTGTGGTCTTCCATTTTCTCAATATGTTCCTAATTGTGGAAACAGACAGCTTAAATCTCTGAGACAGCTTTCTGTATTCTTCCCCTAAACCATGATGGTGAACAATCTTTGTCTTCAGGTCATTTGAGAGTTGTTTTGAGACCCCCATGTTGCAACTCTTCAGAGAAAATTAAAAGAGGAGGGAAACTTACAATTGACCCCCTTAAATACTCTTTCTCATTATTGGATTCACCTGTGTATGTAGGTCAGGGGTCTCTGAGCTTACCAAACCAATTGTTTAAAATCTGAAGTTACTTGAGTCAGTGAGAGACAGAAGGTCGTTGAACAGACTGTAAATTTTAAGACTAAAGTCAAAATCTGGACATTAAAGCTGTTGTTTCAAGTCAAACAACTGCCACAGATAATACCCCCTCCAGTCTCTAGTAATACAACATACATTCTGTTTTCTTTGTGAGATTGTAATGATCAGTATAGTTGCATTTGCAAGCTATTTAATTTCACACAAATCCATGTCACTAGCACAGGTTTTTGTGCTTTTTCCTTTTAGTTAGATGTAGCTTACTGCACCATTGTCATATACTTGTTACCACACTGTGTTTATGTGCTAAACGTGAAATAACTTCTGGATTTCTAAAACTGATTCTGAAGTACAGTTTCACTAACTCATCTACACAAGGCATTTTGAAAAGGATGTATCAGCTGTGACAGCTGTTTGACTTCAGTCTCCACATTTTGACTTTATTCAGAAAGCTGTACTTTGGCTTTTCTCAAATCATCTTATCCTCTTTATCCTCAAAATACTATTTTGAATTTAATGTCTAAAATTTGATTTTAGTCTCAAAATGACACATTAAGATAATATGTTTATCCTAACATGTCATTAATACTTAGAGGTGGGAAAGATGGGAAGCTCAGATGTTTTGAAACTGTGTCGGGCTTCTGAAGCTCAGATGTTTCGAAGCAGGTTCTAAACACCCAGGTCACATGACCACGACTAAATGAGGTTAGTGTACATCACCATCATCATCATCATCAAAAGCCAGTGAAGCTGCTTCAGGACAGGGGTGATGTGGTGAATAGAGGGAATCTTAGTGATAATATGGGCAGCCGATACCAAAAAGAAGGTAATTACAGTAACAAGGCTATGAACTACTAGTACGATTTTCCGTCGTATTGAGACTGCAACAAAACGCTGCTTAAATTTAGAGTATTGAGACTTGCCATTGTGAAATGCACATCTTAAATGGTTCGTTGTAAGGCTCTTATTTTGAATGATTTTTTCGGACACTCCACACCAATTGGTGGCGGTAATGCACCATTTTGATGTTTGCTAACCTTGTGAAGAAGAAGAATTTTCCGGAAGTGTCGTCTGAACTCACTGTGAAGGTATTCGGTTACACTCTTTGGACTGCTCCGTGTTGTTTTCTGTTTAAAACTTCGGATTCTTCAGAAAAAAGAAACAGATAAGCAATCTGTAATCTTGGTAATTTAATCAACGGATATACCGAAAGCATTTACTGCCGTTTTCCCTAAAAGGGAGGTAAGTACACGGTTGAAGAACTAGTGTGCTGCGTCATTATGAGTTAGCGCCTTAGTGTTTTAGCAAGGCTAGCCGCAGCTAAGAAGCATGTGAGCGGACGATAAAAGAGGACGTTTTATGCTTCAACTTGCAAATTAATTAGACTGTATGTCTTGGATATATTTTACTCTCTCTTTCAATGTATCAGAACATTAATGATTAAATCAAAGCTAACCGTATTTTACGAATATTTGCTTGGCGGTAAGGCGAACATGGTTTTAGGACAACCAGGGCTCTGTCAGCAAGCTCACTATAGAACTATAGTGAGCTTGCTGACAGCCCTTAATATTTGTGATGATGTTATTTGGTATCTTAATCTGCGAATGTTGCGATAATGCGAAAATGTATCTTTATATTGAACAAACGACTTTCTGTGGTGTGTTGTCGAGCACCTACTGTAAAAAGTACCTATTGTAGGTGAAGCTAATGCTGAACCTTAGCTTAGCAAGAGGCTAGGTAAAGCTAGGCCTTAGCTTAGCAAGAGGCCAGGTAAAGCTAGGCCATAGCTTAGCAAGAGGCCAGGTAAAGCTAAGCTTTAGCTTAGCAAGAGGCCATTATACGTTCATATTACGTTTAAGCAATAGATATCTCAGCGCGCCTGTAAGGAGAACGCCAGTACCTATCACGAAGTGGTTTATATGTGATTTAAGAGGAGTGAATTATTTTTCAAGCCCAAACGGGAAAATACTCTATACGTCTTTCATATTAGTTTAGTAGAAAATAAACACTATGCCGACAATTTCATAAATGTTTAGGTTATTCTGTACAATTGTAAATTAGTTATTGTTCATTGGCCTGTGTTTACTGTATTACCTTTGTTTGGTAATCAAATCTACGGCAACATAATTGTATGTTTCTGTCTTTACATGTTCAGGTCTTTGTGGACAGGTTCCTTGCAGTCCAGCTGACAAACCACAATGATCACTAGAAGAAGAAGTCGCACTGTCACAAACACAGAAGTGCAGTCTCCAGAGGTTGAGGCGGTAGATGTGGAAAGTATGAAAGATCTTCTGATTCCATGTGACGGATTCCGAGTTAAAGATGTGGATGCTGCTGGAGTAGAGCTTGATGACCTGTTTGAAGACTTAAAATGGACACTAGACAGAGATGCTTCATCCTCGCTCTTCAATATTGATTTGGCTGATCTCTGTGTGTACAACACCAAAGATGGAGACTCCGGGCTTGAAGCTTCAACTGCCTCATCTCCTGAGAGATATTCTTCTGACTCCCAGAACAGCAGGCAAAAACAGTCAAGTCACGTGACTAACAAAAATGCAATCGCTGCCAGATTAAATCGTCTCAAGAAGAAGGAATATGTCAATAGCTTGGAGCAGAAGATCGGCATGCTTTCAACGGAAAATAGCACGCTCAAAATAGAAAATTCTCAGCTGACCAAGAGAGTGGAAGACTTGGAAGATGAAACCAGGTACTTGAGGGCTGTGCTGGCAAATGAGAGCATGTTAGCCCAGCTCTTGTCCAGGCTGAGCGGTGCGAATGGGATGAAATTATCTTCCTCACTTTTCCAGGGGCCCAACTCAAACGAGCACGACTACGCCCTGCCCAGGAAACGGGCCAGAGTGGAGGAAAAAGAAACATCTGGTGGCGTGTGTCTTCATGTGGACAAGAATCATGTCTCAGTGGAGTTCTGCACCAAGTGTGCAGAGAGTGCAAGCACGGTGCTCAAAATGTAGGGTCAAGTACTTCTCTCTGTTTTCAGATATTGAGACTGAGCTTGATGGGGCTCAGTGTGCTGAACTTGAGGCTGGATGAACGCTTTGAATTGATTAATTGCCTAAGAACTGTGCATGTGTTTTTGTGTGATGATGGAATGAGTTCATGTTACTGCTAAACCTTGTTGACAGTTTCTTCTAGGTAATTGGTTGATCCACCATGCGGGATGAGTGGCTTTCAGAACGCCTTTGTCTGCTTGACTCCATGGTAAGGATCAGACAAGAACAGACATTTTCTGTTTTGTTTTATTTCACAGGGTATAGCATTCAGCCGCGACGCCAGTGTTTTTGTTTCTATAACTTTATTTTCCTGCTAGTTTTTGAGCACATGTCTTTTCCATATGGATTGTTGTTATAGGAAATAACTTGATTAAAGTTAATTAGGTTTTACTCTTAATTGTCTCTTATCTTTAATCTTAAGATGTTAAGATAAAGGTGCGGGTCCACAAAGAGTGATCTTATATCATCTCAAATTGGAAAAGCAATAATCTGTCGGAAGACAATTTTTTGTATGTTCAGTTTTTGTAGAACTAATCTCTTTGTGAACCCGCATCCCTGTACAAAAGAATACTTTCATTTAGCGCCACCTATTTTTCTTTATGCTAAAGTGGATTCTGCTGGTGGAAGGGGAAGAGGCTGGACAAGCGGCTGCCATCGTGGCCTGGTATTTTTTTAAAGGTAGTATCGGTATCAAATGGTATTTGTGATCCTATTTCATCACTACTCCACAACATCTGTAGCTGCTGATCCTGTCAGCATAGCTCCCGCAGCATTTTTAAGGGCTGACAATAGCTTCTCGTTTAGGCAAACACAAGTTTAACAGTCTAAGAATTATAACTTGTATATATTGTTGGAATGTATATTTAACATACTCAGAAAAATCTGCTGTAAGTGAAAAAAATGTGTAAATGTGTACATAACTCTGAACACATACTGTTTTAGGTAAATGGCCTTTGAGAAATGTTGGACAAATAAATCTTATTTACAGTACTTTTGACTTAAAAGCATCTGCTTGTTTTGTTTTGTTTTTGAGTCTTGTTTAGTACTATTGATATTAATGTGTCTCTTTTTCTCTCTCTAAACAGCAAGCTCTCTGCCGATAAACTGAACATTTGGGTCAAGTCTGGTAAAGGTTGTCAAAACAAATGACCAAGACGTCTTTGAAGGTTCTCAGTCATCCAGGTCATCGTAGTCAAAGGAGCTTGCAAAGAAAAGCGTATGGACTTCTTTAAGTTCTCTGGCTGATTGGGACCCACACCCAGTTCCACACCTTGGCTCAGGCGATTAGAGGATCATCAGGGGGTCCTTTTGTCCCTCTGTGGGGGGACACTCCCACCAGGTTTATATCTGGGACTCTCCACCATTTGACCTTAGAACTGAAGAAGCCTCTCGGATGAGAGGTGAAACGTCTTCAAGTAACTTAAAGAAGTCCAGACGCTTTTCTTTGCAAGCTCCTTTGACTAAAATGACCAAGACCTCATTTGATGGAAGCACAAAGCATGAGGGCCCACAGGGGTTATCTTGCCCATGTTTTAGCCCATTTACTTCAGATTACACAGCCACATCCTACACCTAAAATTAGTGGCGTTTTTATAGGTCTCGGTCAGTCCACTTAAACTGTACCAAGCCAGTCCCTGGTGATCTTTTCACTCCTACACGTCAGGGTATATTTACACTGCTGGGATTGCCAGCCCTGTGACTGTCAAACACCATTTTCAGTAGTTGTGTAGTTACTTTGGAACAGGAAACCTTACTTTGAGCTTAACTCATTAGTTCAATTCAAATGTTCAGGTTTCACAAGTTGCTCTATCCTTGAGTTTGCTTCACATGAAAAGCTGTCCATGTGAAAACTAGTGGAAAGCTTTTATTTTCAAGTGAAAATGGATGTAATGAGTCAGATCTCTACACAGTAAAAGTGTGGTCTGTAGACAGCAGGTGGATTTAAGTGAATTGCTTTAATTTCTGTCACTAATATTGTATACATTGTAATATAGTTTATTTGAAAACTACCTTTGATCCACTGAGATCTTTCTTTTTTTTTCCAGTGTGCGTATGCAGACTGGAATGATTGATCAGCCAGGCATTAAATTGTGATGCATGTGAAAGTGGAGTCTATTAGGTGAGCTTAGCATGGAAACCAAATAAGTACATAGCTTCTCTGACTGTCTAAAGTTTATTTATGTTTTTCTTCTTGTGATGGTTAGCTACAGGCTGTTGGACTCTGATTTGAAAGTGTTGTATAACACTGCAGAAAACCAAAACCATCAACAGTGGGAAACTCATTCACTCACAAGTCAGACTGTAAGATCTGTAGCTTAATGATCATCTGTGTCAATCCTTATCAGTCTGCATGTGAGCTGTATACTTAAAAAAATCCCCCCACTTGTAGTACAAATGGCAGTGTTTTTTTTAAATGTATGAATTCACATACCTCCATGTATGCCCAAAGAAGTCACCCCCTGCTGGCAATGAGGAATAATGCATATTTAAGGTACTTGAAGCATTGCATGTGACATATGTGGACATTGTTGACTATTTGTTGTACAACTGTGTAAGAAATGAGCAGTTTCAGCTCCAGTCAATTTAAATCAGGGGTGTCCAACATAAGGCCCGGAGGTCAGACTTGATCCAGGAAAGATGCCAACCTACTAGATGTCTTTGGAAAATGTGGAGGGCATAGATTTTGGACTTTATTTACTTTACAGCACAGACAGCTTTGGCAGCTGTCTGTGCTGCTAATAAAAACACTGTCACAGACATTCATACTACGAAGTAATAGACAATTTTAATGATCGAGAAGTTTCCTAATTACAGGGCAGTCTGGGTAATTTTAAAAAAACAAACAAAAAACTGTTGTTTTATGTTTACTTCTTTGTTCCCCCTGTCCAAATCGCGGAAAAACACTATGTTTCTAAAACCATTTTGCACAGCTCCCTTTTTTGAAAAATGTATCAATAGCAATGTTGAATATTATCACTCAGAAAAAAAACAACTACACGTAAAATAATTCCATTGTGACGCCTCTGTCTTTCTAAATGGAGGGACAGTAACTGCGTGTGTATATGTAAGCGTGTAAAAACTGCAGATAGGAAGATTATCCATCCGCCATTTGTAGAAATTCATCTCATGTAAACATGGCGCACAGCGTGACGTAAAAAAAGGCACATACCTTTGACGTTGCTTGACGAACTCCTTGTCCACAGGTAAACACAAAAACTGAGTTTTCGAAAATCTCCAAATCTGACAGGAGTTCTCCTTTTTTGGCAATTTGAAACGGCGTTTACGTGTGGACGAAAGGTCCAAACGCATAGAAAAAGCTGCGTTTTCAAAAATACCCGTGTGGATGTAACGTAAAACAGTAGTTTATTGCTACCTATAATTTATTGCAGCTTACTTTTATTTGTTTAATTGGTTTACTAAATGTTTGAAGTGTGAAATAAACTAGGGAATTTAGGTGGTGGGGGGCGCGAAGATTTTCTTGTAAAACAAAGGGGGACCTAGCAAAAAAAGTTTCAGAACCACTGTTTCAGTGAATGCCATATTTTAATTCATTTTTGTGTTTACTATATTTTTGTGAAAGCACTGTTTTGACATCGACCTATTTGGTCAATGTTGCATGTTATACAGTACGTGTTTCAAGTTTCACAAACTGGTTCACTTTCAGCACTTTTAATGGAACCACCAGGCATAGAAGTGGTTCGCTTTGCACCAGGTCCAAGTACAGAGCTTTCCATCAGTTTCAACCCCAATTCTGAAGAAGCTGACAAAGTGCAGTGACATGCATCTCTCATAAACCTACAGTTTAATCACAATGTATCACAGGTAACATCAAATGTTTAAGCTGAGGAAATGTACTATTTTGAGAGAAAATTACTTATTTGAAATTTTGGCAGCAGCACGTGATCAGAAAGTTGAGGCCAGCCCATGTTTACTACAATGTTGCAGTAGTCCTTTAACCTCCTAGGACCTGCCGTTCACATATGTGGACATCACATTTTGGGTTATTTAGACCAAAATACTAAATTTTGCCCTACATGGGCCTAATATCCACTTACGAGGACATTATACTGCTACTGTTCTATCAAAATTTTAAACGAGTATCCTCATATGTGGCTCTCATTCTTCTTAAAAACAAAAATAAGGTAAAAAAAAATCTGGTAATTCTTTGTTTTTACATTTATCGGGCCCCAATATGCCCAAATATCAAAGAGAAATTAAAAATACATGTTGTGGAAAAGTTTGGGTCTTAGGAGGTTAAACATCTGAGAACTGAGACCAGTTGTTGGATTTTGCTGGAATCTGACACAAGATTCCAGCAAGAGCTTCGCAACTGTAAGAATAAAATAAACATGAATTGGATGTACTTGGGGGATCGTATTCAAAACTCCACTTATACTTATCACAAGGCCATGCCCTTATCAAAACTACATTAGAGGATAAGCAGCAATCATATACCAATAAGTCAGCAACAGACTATTCAGCCTATCATAAGGTTGAATAAATGCAACTGATGATATAAGAAGAGAAATGACTAAAGCATCTAAATAATTAATTTTTACTGCAGATATGTGGCTTTGACCTAAAGTGTCATGAATCCCACCTGTATTTCTTATGATGTTATAATAATGTCACAGCTGAGTTTGTCCAAATATCACTTGAGAGACGAGGACAATGCTATTTTAGTTTGTTTAGACAGTGACATTATATTCCACATCAAAGCAGAAACAACTGCATACGAAAAAGTCTTAAAGCTCTGTTGGGGGGAAAAGCACAGTATAGAGGGTGTTTTCTGAACACCCTCTATACTGATATGCATATAGCAGGAGTGTTTCCAGGGTTTTTTTTTTAATGTGGAAGGACAAGAAGGATCAATGACAAAGCAGGGAGCCCACAAGAAAGCCGAATATTTATCGAAAATAAAGTAGCTGTAGAACGATTATAAAACATTAGGCATGATTTTCAAGCTCTGGATTCCTCTGGATTCTCTATATCACAAGTGGTGTTGCACAAGACTTGAATTATTGTTTTGTACTGGATAAATTGTTTTTCAAGGTAGATAAAAGTACTGAGTTAAAAGAGTTAAAAGATATGTGATCAAAGTATATTCAAATGAATAATAAACATACTCATTATATAGACTGGCCCTTTTTGGAATCCCATACATTATATCATTGCATCATAATTATTGATGTGCTTATTGCTTTAATGTGGTAGCTGATCTGTAATATCCACATATCCTTATCGGGGGTTCTGGAGCTAACAACGAAATAAAGAAACCTAATGAATCCAGAGAGAATCCGTGAAAGGTTGCTGAGGACAAAGAAACTCAAAAGAAGCTCTGAAACTCTGGAAGAGATGGGTAAAGAGTGGAAAAAACCAAAGCAAGGACATCATGTTTGAGGATCAGAATCTTAAGATAGTTGTTTGGGAATATGTGTAGACATTAGTTAACAAGGCTTGAGAGTAATGCCATATCAAAAAAAAAAAAAAAA